TTCTCAGTGCAGTGCTTTAACCCGCTGTGCCACCAGGGAGGGCCTGGTATCTCATTGTGGTTTTAATTTGCATCTCCCTTATTACAAGTCATGTTGAACATTTTTCATATGCCTGCTGGCCATCTGCATTTCCTCTTTGGAGAAGTGTCCTTTTAGCTCTTCTGCCCATTTTTTAAATGAATTTGTTCATTTTATTTTTGTTGAGTTTCATCAGCTCTTTGTATATCTTTGTGATCAATCCTTTTTGCTAGTATTGTGTGAGAAAATTTTCTCCCAGTCAGTGGGATGTCAGTTTGTTTAGTGTAATGTCTTTTTTGCTGTACTTGATGTAGTCAGCTGTTTATCCTTTCCTTCACTAGCTTTGCTGTGGGCGTTGAATCTTTAAAGATGTTCCTGAGGGGTATGTCCCACCTTTGCTTCCAGATATTTTATGGTTTTGAAAGCCATTTGCTTGTGTATAGTCCTTGTTAAATTTGATTCATCTGGTATTTTACTGATGTTTTACAAGGATTTTGATCAATAGTCTTGTGTCGTCTTTGATTGGCTTTGACTAAAAATGAGGTGGAAAGTGAGAGATTTTTGTGTTGGTTTCTAAGTTGTAACACAGATGGGAGGAATGTATACATTTGTTTGTGATTATGTTTACCTCCCATAGTACTGGCAAAATCAATTTGTTTTATGTGTTTAATATAAATTTAAAATTTAATGTGCCTTAGAATAATTGGGGTAAGAAAGCTACTTTAAGCCTTGATTTAATAAAATAGATCTGTCATCAGAAATAGCAGAAAGATATGCAATTTTATTCTGTCTACATTTTTTAAGCAAATAAACTCGCAATATCTCTATTAGTACAAGTTTTAAGAAAAATTACTGACACATGTATGATTTAAATAGATGTAAATGGGAGAAAAGTTTTACATAAATTCTTCAACAATAATTATGTGTATGGCTCTAAAAATAATTTCCAATAGTTTTTCTTCTTTTTTTTTTTTTTTCAGTAAATAACTTTAGAGGTTTTTTTTTTTTTTTGGCTAAATAATGGAAATTGATTACCTAGATCATACTTAAACATTATTTTCTGAACTGAGATTTAGGCTTCTTTTGTGAAAAAACTAAAGACTTTGGGCTTACTAGAAAATGTGTCTAGTGTCTCTTTGAAGACTCACACTCCGAAGCAGTACTTGCCTTAGAAATTATAACAGTTTGTTGGTATAGCAGTCCACTATCACTTATTTTTTAGCTATTTTAATCTGTAGTGTACTTGAAGAAAACTAAGCCTTGATATTTTTTTCCCCCAACCTAGTTAAGTGGATAAACTTACCTGCTTCTAAAATTTTCAAAAGTTTTTCCTTACCTTTTAAGTGGTCTACTTATACATACACTGTGTCATATCAAAATAATTTCATGTTCTTTTTATCATTAAGTTCTTGATTACCTAACTAAACCTAGTTTTTTTGTTTTTAATATAATCTATTTACATACAGATTACATCATTGTTCATTTTGCACACTGCTTGCTTTCTCCTCTCAGGGGAAGTTCCCTTAGTGTTCCCACCCCCAATCCACCACCCTGTCATTATCTCCACAGTCCCTCCTGTCTTTCCTCCCCTGTAGCCTTTTTGATTTTAAAAGAGCTAAGTTTTTGGCCCTCCCTGGTGGCGCAGCGGGTTAAAGCACAGCACTAAGAAGCTAAAGCCACTTCCGCATGAGTTCGATTCCCGCCTGCCCCGGAGGTGACCACATGGCGTGGCAGACCTCTCCTGACCCGCCCGCTGCTCCCCTCAGCAGTGTGCTTCGTCGATCTGCCTGTTCTGCTCCCCGCTCTGTCTCTGAATTCTCTCACCCTCCGCATCTCTGGCCTGTACCCCAGTTCTGTACAAATACATAAATAAATCTTAAAAAAAAAAAAAAAAGAGCTAAGTTTTGTTTACAACCCTGTAAACTTCTGTATTTGCTTTTGAAGTCTTCATTATCATGTTGGTTAAATGAATAACCAAGTATTGTTTCAGTAATTTGTGATCCCTTTTTAGTCAAGTGTTCAAAAACTTTTGACATATTTCTTTAAAGATTTATTTATGCATACAGAGCTGGGATATAGGCAGAGGCTCAGGGGTGGTGAGAGGCTTCCCCAGAGACAAAGTGGGGAGCAGAACAGGCTGATTGAGGCAGTACACTGCTGAAGGGAGCAGCGGGCAGGTCAGGAGAGGTCTGCCGTGCCATGTGGTCGCCTCCGGGGCAGGCGGGAATCGAACTCATGTGGAAGTGGCTTTAGCTTCTTACTGCTGTGCTTTAACTGCTGTACCACCAAGGAGGGCCTGATTTTTTTTTTTTTTTGACATTTAACTGGCAATTTTCAGAGGGCTCCTGGAACTTCTCAGATTTGTTCTTTCTCCTTATAAAAGGAGAGATTAATCAGTTTATTGGTAAACCTAGTAAGCTTAGTTTATTGGTAAGGCTAATTGGTTCATTGAGTTGTATGAGAAGTATGGTCAAATAGGAATACTAGTATATATAATATGTATATAATATGTATATTATGCATATATAGTGAAACATATCTTTATAGATAAATATCTGATATATATTTTATACTATATATTGTAATATAGTAATATTACAATACTATATTATATATGTAATATAGTAGTACTAATATAATACCAAGTAGTATTGTTACTATAAATCCCTAAAATTTAGATGTTGAGGCATAATGGTTGAATGACTGATTTTTTTTTTTTATTTAAAGCACTGGTAAAATTAGTCATTTGATTTACTTTATGTTAGAAATTAATTTTAATAAATCTCATCACATTGAGTGTTAGAAGTATAAGAGTGGCAAAATTGTTACTGAATGTAACTTTGGAGTAAGGAATAGACTTCGGATCTTTTTCATGTAATTGTGTGTACAGGTTTTGTTTAATAGTCTAGTTTAAAAAGGCTTAAGCCCATCAATTTTTGTATCCAACCGGCACCTGCATGTTTATATTGGGCTACTTGCTACTTAAATTATAAAGATCAATAGTATTTGTTTTAGTATAACTTCTGCTAAATGAGTTGGGATAGTAGAAAAGGGAGATCTTGTGTTTTCATTTTGGCACTTTTGTTAACAGCTGAAGGAATAGCTGTCACTTCTCCGCCGATCCATCCAGGACATTCCTGCCTGAGGTAGGTCAGTCTAGTGATGTGAGGCTTCTCTAGCTGTGGTCAGTGCTTCCCACAGGAATGATTCTGACCAAAGGAGAGAAGTAAGAAATGTAAGCAAAATGGAGCTGAGCCTCGTACATCCAAAACAGAAGCTTGTTGAGGGTCAGCCCAGACACCGCCCAGCACCCTATAAGTGTCCACTCCGGGAAGAGTGGCTGAATCAAAGCAGACTGCCCAAAATTCAAACATGATCACTTATGCTTACCTGGTCTCACCTAATTTGCATTTTATTGCACCCATCAAAGGACTGCTTTGAAGCATGATTTGAAGCATCGTAACCTAATCTGGAACACTACTCAAAGGCTATTTGGGCAGTCCCAAAATCTCATTTTTTCATTGAACTTCAACCAGTTTTGGTTTCTTGGTTAACAAGGCCATTTTGATTTATTCGATTGTTGGAAAAGTCACGGATGCATTATTTATTTATTTATTTCTGTGATATTTTTGGCAATGAACAGATATCCCTTATCGGGTTAATTTCATCATACTCCTGGCAACAGAAGTCATGCCTGGCAAGCTTCAAAGCCTGGAAATGCAGAGAGCACCAGGAGCAGAGCCTTACAGAAACTCCTCTGGGACCATTGGGTGGGACCTTTCCTTCCTGCCCCCCCCCACCCCCAGGGCAGTTTCTCTTGCACTTCTGACTTCCCAAGGCCACCTCCCTAAGGCCACCTCCCTTCACTCTCACTGGGCTTTTCTCAGGGGAACTCATTTCCCTTCCTCACTGAGAAGTCCAGGGATCCCCTTTCTTCCATTCACAGCAGAGCTGCTCCGGGACCACACTGTCAGCTGTAAAGGGCGACAGTCTGTTGGGTTTGAAAACTGAGTGGGTTTACCAAGCGCAGGTAGCAGACTGTGGGGGAAGGGTAGGAGGTGACCAGTTGAGAAAAACACAAAACCTTTTCCCAACTGGGCATCGCTCCCCCACCAAAATAAGACAGTGGGACTAACAGGTGAAGTTCTCATTTATTGTTGCGGCAACTCTTACAGACATTAGCGTTCAGTTAAATAAAGGAAGATAGCACAGTACGTACATCACAACCCCCCACATGGTGCGGCGGGGGAGGGTGGCCCGGTGACCAGACTGTGGGAGGAAGTACATTCAGTGGGTGTGTGGCGTCAACATTCCGGGCTCACGTGGATATATCTTTTATTTATATATTTATATTTATATATAGAGATCATTGAGTTTTGTGTATACAAAGAACGCTATTCTTACAAATACAATACTATACTTCTCCCAAGGCTTTACAATAAGCTTTATTTCACTCTCTTTACAGAACAATAGTACAAGTTCATACTCTAGGGGCTGTGCTGAATATGTACATGAAAGTTCCTTCCCACAGTCCTAACTCACTGCCTCAGTGGAGGGGGACGTAGAAATCAGTGTCGTGTGCTCAAGTCGGCCCAAGTTGGGGAAGGAGCAGACGGACATGAAACTCAAACCAACAAGCGACCTTGCAAGTGGGAGAGTAAACACGTCGAGGAGGAGGTGGCCCTTGGTTGTAAACATTGTAACAGCCACACCACTGGGTTGAGGGACCCAAGAAGGGCTCTGTGGGTGGGTTTCGTCAGCGTGCGGATGGGGGGGCGTTAGGTGCAGAAGGGGGCCGTGGGGGAGGCAGGAGTGATGGGGGAGGTAGTAGGTTACTCTGGGACTCTGAGGCCAGTGATGACGGACAATGTTCAGAAAGCAGAGCCATCTGCGGGGATCCGGAGCCGGAGCCCCATGATGGACCCCAGGGCCCGAGGGGCCCACTCGGTGAGGAGAGTGGACACCAGGCATTGGTCTCTGGGGGTTTCTTCCTATTGTGAACCCAAGGCTGATGGTGACTCCCTGAAGTGCTTGCATTTGAGAAGGCAAAGGCAGGGTGGGTTCTGGTGCATCCTGGCTGGACCAGGAGGGGTGGAAGAATCTGGGAATCTGTCCCCAAAGCTGAGTCACCAGCATGTCCTAGCCATGCAGCAAGAGTGGGTTTTTTTTTTTTTTTTTTTTTTTTTTGCCTGTGCAATGTTAGGGAAGGGTGCTCTGTACAGAGTCTTCCCCATTATGTGGGGGACCAGAGTTTACATGTAGAACTATACATGCCAGTTGTCAGCGGGAGCTAGATCACCATTTCCCACAGGACTCTCCAGAACTGAGTTACTAGCATTGAATATTATCTCCTTGGTTAACCACAGGTGGGTCGACTCCCCCGTCCAGTGGGAGCAAAGGAAAATGATACACTTCAGCGGGGTCAATCTGTACCAAGTTCCGGCCACACATGCTATCTAGGGGTGAGGAGCTGCTTTCATTAACTCAAAGGTACGTGGAGGACAAGTCATCTTAAGCTAAAATGTAGTCTTTTAGGAGAGCTGACCAAATTGACTTTTCAGCACCTCTCATATTTCCCAAAATTGTTGTGCATTAGCAATAGAAAGTATAGTCCCTCTCAGCTTCCATTTGGGTAAAGATGTTTAATGGCAATTAATTGGGACGTGCAGGCAGAGTGCTCCCAACCCCTAGCCAGGGACCCAGTGGTGACTCTGGGGCAGCTGGGCATAAACCCTCATGGTTTTCCATGGTCCTGATGCCAGCATTCCCATGAGCAACAACATTTCCTTCCTGTTCTACCCACAGTACTTTTGGTAGAGGAAAGAACGTACACTCCTTGATATTCAATGATCAGACACTGTACAATTTGGTTGCATCAGGAAAGATAAACTTAGAAGCTGGAGCCATGGCTCCAGGCTCCTTACATCTGTGGTGGGTCAACTTGGGGGCAGCAGCCTCCAGCTAAGTATTCTCAAAAGACATGAGGGGGTGCTGAAACACCCTCCCTGCCCCTGGCGAGGCAGCAACTCTCCTCCCCAGAGAAGACTTTGGGGTAGCCTCTACCAGGGCTTATGCCCAGCTACCCTGACCCATCTGCTGCTGATGCCCTTGAAACACTAGGCTTTTCTAACTGAGTGGAAAATGCGAAAGTTTCTTGCTTAGCGACCCAGGGGAACGGACTGCACAGCTGAGGGAAGTCTTATTCCTCGTCCTTTCACACTCATTCTTCTCCCTCCCTGAAATCTCTCCAGGCCGTGTGTAAATACAATCTACCCGACAATGTATGCTCACTGCATTTCTAGCTCCATAGACACAACATAAATATCCAGGGGCAGAGACAGGGCTATATTAATAGGGCAAAATATATTTGCTTCTCTTCCCTGTCTCTACTGATGTCATGAACAAAACAAAACAAAATCCAAAGCAAGCTACACCCCACTCATAGGAAAACAAAATGCTCTTTGGACCAAGAAAAAGTAAAAACTGGCTCAGAATAATATGACTAAAACCTCTGCACTGAACTGAGATGGAACCATGAATGAGGCGCCTGATGAGAAAACACAAAACATTCCACATGAATAGAAAACTCAGACCCACAGGCAGGATGTCGTTTCTGGAACACACCGGAGATTTTCAGGCATGGCTTGAGGTGGTTATAGTCCCCTGTGGTTTCTGTACTATTCTGGTCTTTCACACGGCTCATCCTGCCTAGTGGCCCTGAGCAGAGGAGAAAGCAGGTCCGGCCTGGGGCCAGGAAGCACAGCATGGCCTACCAGATCCTTGCCGCAGGGGGCAGTCCGTCCTTCCCAGACCGTGGGCGAGGTGGGTGCTTGAGGGGAGTCCACTAGAGCGCTGATCCAAGGTGATGCTGGCAGGGCCCCTCGGCTGCGGAGGGTGTCTGTCTGAGGACAGGGCTTCCCAGAGAGGTGAGTGGGCTCTCCAGGGACCCTATGTCTTGGTGGTGAGAATGGAAAGGCAACAAGCCAGTGAGATTGTGAGTGCGTGTGTGTGGTGCAGAGGGCAGAGCTCCTGCCAGTGTTTCTCTCTCATTTGGGAACCTAACAACCAAAGGAAGCTGTGGCTGCCCCAGGAATTGCCCAGCTCTTGCACTGCCATGATGTCTATGCCCAAGGCAGTTCCCTTTCAGTCCTTGGGTGAGAAAGCTCATATTAGTAAACACATGTGCTGAAAGTAAAACTAGCTACAGAAGAGGCATGAAGTTGGCTCAGAATTCTGGATGGAAATAATGTATGGCACCCCGACAACATGGTGGGCTGGCCAGGCCCTACATCACTAGCAGATGCCTCTGAGTTGATGGAGGAGGGCAGGGGGATCAGCGATCGGGCTTAGGCACTGCTGAATCGCCCCCTTCCAAGAGGTCTGCTCCTCCTGCCAGGTTGTCCGGGCAGCGACAACCCTCCTCAGGACCCTGGGTCCCTGCTGGAGGGTCCTGGGTGGAAACAAGGTGGGTGTTTATGCTCGCCATGCCACCCTCGAGGGAGTGCATCCAAAACTTCCCTGGTATGGGAAAAAAACAAAACGCAAAACTGGAAAGAGACAGAGAGCAGATTCTTTTCTTCCGGTTTAAAACCAAGTGCTGGGCACGAGAGGGAATGTCTCAGTGGGCACACAGATGCAGCACAAGAAACACAACCACGAGTGAGGAGAGTCCTCCATGCAAGCCGCCGGGAGGGGAGGGGCCTCACATGTAGACGGGCTGCTCCTGGGCCGTCAGCAGCCTGTACATGGCAGCCGGCATGGTCTTCATGTGGATCTGAGGGCGCAAACACGTGAGTGAGCACGGGCGGGGAGCGCTGCCCCAGGGCGGGAGTGGCGAGCTTACTGGGGTGGTGTCAGACACTCAACTACCAGGGGCTGATCGAGGTGGCCTCGCAAGAATGTCATCTGAGGTTTTTACGAAAGTCGGGGTGACAGGAGGGAAGGAGGACCAGGTCAGGTCTATTTTCTAATCAAGTGTTCTTGTTTTCATCAGGCCCTTTTACAAAAAGGACAGGACCCTAGAAACAGGAGGAGATGGACTGGAGTTGAGTGTTCCCGCCTTCCCTTCCATGCTGCCCTGGCAGGGGAGGCCACAGCAAACCAGCCCTGGACCAGCTCTTGGGAGTGGAGGTGAGTTCGTGACAGGGAGGTGCCTCGGGAGGCCTGAGCTGCTGGTAGGCATGAATCTAACGAAATGTGCCTGGGACAGGTAAGTGGGAAACATGGTGAGAAATTCAGGCCGCCACAGAGGGAAGGTAAATCACTCCTGAAGGAAGGACTAACGGTGCTGGATCTGATTTCATGGAGTTGCTCTCAGACAGCCCCTTAACCAGTGGATTTGAAATCTGCTCTGGGACGGACACTTGTTCTTGAGGGTATGTAGGGCAGGGCAGGGACCTTCTCAGGACACCTCTGGAAAGCCTCTTCAGGGCCACAGTGAGCGCGAGGTGAGATGCACCAGAGAACCCCCTCGCCCGACCCAGTCCTACCTCCCCCACAGCGTTGGAGAGGATGTGCACGATCTTCTCATGGGGGGTGGCGACCACGCTCTGCCCGTTGATTTCTATGATCCGATGCCCCACGCGGACGCCCCCTCTCTCGGCTATCCCTCCTCGCATGAGGCTGCAGATCTAGGGAGGTTAAGGGTCGAGTTAATCTTGTGAACAAAACCTTGTGCCAGGGAACTGGGTGGGGATAGAGGCCTCTTTTCTGGAGCTCCCTGCCTTTTCCCAGCACTCCCATCTCTGAGAAGCTGCCATTTATAACTGCATTTATAACTGTTCCTTCTCACTAGAAATAGGGCTCCATTGGCCCAGGGGGCCCCATCCTTGGTGCACTGGCAGGGGGCACAGCTCATGGCTGAGTGTCACAGCACAGTGACCTGGGAGCGCCTCCATCCCACTAGGACTTGATACATACAGCTACATGTGCCTGTCAGGATTTCATACTGCCAGCCTGCATCAGGCAGGTAAGTAGTTGCCAAATTGCCACTGGATGCAGATGTTGAGTGTATGATGCCAGCAATCTGATCCCAGGGCCATAGGTACGTGAGCCCAGGCAGAGGTGCACACCCCAAGTGTGGCAGCTGGAGGAGAGGTGTTCCCAGCAGCTCTGTGCAAACACTCCTCATGAAAAAGGACAGCGTGGCTGGTTTTAGTTCCATCCCAAGCAGGCGCCTCGGTGGTGGCTGGTGGAAATGAGCCCCGCAGGGATGGCCACCCCCACCTCACACACAAAGCACCGACGTTCCTCAAATGAATATGATTTCAATTTTATAAAGTTGCCATTTCACTCCAGAGTCTTCACTTTTGATTCAAAGCCTATGCAGGTGACCGTGATGGCTGTGATGATGGGCATCCGGTGTGTGACCTATGTGTGAAGGTAGTGACCCCTCTGGGGGGGGAAAATGTCCCTTATGTGCTTCCTACATGGTCAAACCCGGGGCCCCCAGGGACAGGCACCTGTTACACAACAACCCTTTGATAACAGCTAAACAACTTTTGATATTCAAATGTGAATACAACAAACAAAGTAGAAACATAAAAACCTGACTTTAGACCAAAACTCTAACGAATCGCTGGGTCTTATAAGAGGGGACACATGAGATGGGCCAGATAGTTCAAGTTTGGGATCCAAGAGTACTTCTGAAACTTAAATCAACTTGGAGCATCATCTGAATTACCTCTAACTCTCAACTGAATGTTAAGGTGGAGGAGGGTTCTCTGATGTGGAAAGATGAATGTAGAAAGGCAGGACACATCACCCCAAATCTTGGAAAATCACCGAGTTCAGACAGAATAGATTTGTCACCAAAGCCCAGAGTTCCTGTGAATCCAGAACAAGGCAAGCCAGTACAAAAAGGCCTGCGGCCCCCACCCACCGAGATGCCTGCTTGGGCTGGAACTAAAGCCAGCTGCGCTGTCCTTTCTTGTGAGGAGTGAGTTTGCACAGAGCCGCTGGGTTAGGAAGGTACAGAGGACACCTCCCCTCCAGCTGCCACACTTGGGGTGTGCACCTCTGCCTTGCCCTGTGATGCTGTGATCAGACTGTTCTTACCTGGGATGAAGAAAATGTTCTAGAACTTAGGGTTCACTGTCATATCGCTTTGTGAATATTCTTAATGCTACAAATTGTCCAATTAACAGAATGGTTTAAATGACAAACTTACTGTTGAGTATGTTCTACCACACAAAGTGTTATTTTAAGGCTAACATCCAAGTGAAAAGAAAATTCCTTAGCCCTAAAGGGTAAAAAAGCAAGGCCAGTCAGTGATCTAGGTGGAGGACTGGGGTGCCCTGGTGGTAGCTGAGGTAACACAGCTGAAGAGATGAGAGCCTATTCCTTTGAATCCTATATAGTGTAGTAAACCAGTGTTACCTCAGTTAAAAAAAATAAAGGCAAGGCTCACTCATGCCTGCATAAATGCCTAGGTTCTCAGTCAGGACAGGCGCCTAACTGTCTCCACAGGGGAGTGCGAAGACCTCCACCCCACTCCAGCTGCCACATCCCAGTCTTGGGGAGCTGCAGCAGGATTGCTGGCGCCCTCCTGTGCAGGGTGGAGAAAAGCAGGCCTGGGCCAGAAGGGATGGAGTGCTACTACCTGCAGTGGGCAGCTGGAAGGGCCTCCATGCAGGTCCACAGAGACCCTGGGCCCTGTGGCCACGGCTCAGGAGCGGGCATGGGATTCTCTGCCCATGGCGGAAGCTGAGCCTGCCTTTTGTCCAATCATCCCTTTCTTGCTAGATTCTCAGGGAACTGGCTGATTTAGAAAAAGTAAAAACAAACATGGCTTCATTTTTATATTTCAGACATGTGGAAAAGGGGTGTGTGTTGGACTTACAATTCCATTCTGGACACTGAAACCGAGCTGGTAGCGAAGGTCTGGTCTCCTGATCAACACAGTGGTGACTGGAGGACACCGCACGATGTTCAGCTTTACCCGGGACTGGTTCTTCAAGCCCTGGAGGTTAATGAAGCACAGCGGAGAGGGTAACACTGAGGCAGACAGAAGGGGTCAGGGCGCAGAGCCAAGGCCCAGAAGCCCTGGGCCAACAGTGCCCCAGCAGAGCATCCCTAGAAAATCATCACGGAGGTACTTTCTCTCACTAGGATGGTAGGAAAGTTGTGCTTCTAAGGTCCTACCACTGACTTGCGCTTCCACCAAAGGAACAAAAGTAACACAGCCCTAAAAGCAGCCACACCCCTAGACTCTGTCGTGCAGGCTGCTCCAGACCAAAAGGCCTCGAGCAGGCATTGCCCACCTGGCTCAAGTCATGGCACCCAGAGAAAGAACATGTGTCTGTGCCACAAGATAATGTGTGGCTGGGGTCCCGCTGCCCTGGTCCTGCTCTGAGAGGTGAGCCTGGGTAGGGTCTCAGCACTCCCAGGAGTGCCTGCTCCACTGGACTCCCGCAGCGCCAGGCCAGCTGCCTGGGAGCCAGGTTGGCCGGACCCTTGCAGCTCAGGGGTGAGGCTGCTGCTAAGAGCTGTGCTGTGGGAGGATGGGAACCAGAGGAGGGGCAGTGTGGAGGAAAGGTGGGCTCTAGCCCACATATCCCTGGAGACTGCACCAGCTCAAGTCACAGGTGAGTCCAGTGTGTCCTCAATGCGCAAAGTGGAAATGGTGGCCTGAGAGAGCAAATCCATTCCAGCCTGAAAGATAATTTTCTTACTCTATAAACCAAAATCTGCAAAATCTCATGGCCCCCTGTACTAACTCAGTGACCAGCATATAAAGTAATCTCTCCCTGTGTGAGCTCAGGACTTGTATTCATGTTTTTAGATGGGGCACAGAAGTGGACATGGCACCTGTCTTGCCTAAGGGTGGGGGTTGGGGCAGTGAGATCAGGACTGGGACCACTGGTCCCCACGTGGGTCTCTGCCTTCCTTATGAGCATCTGGCCAAGCACAGGCAACACGGGTGTTGATGGCTTCAGCAGCAGAGAATCTGTGGCAATGGTGTAACTTGTCACTCTGAGTACAAAAGTCACTCTGAGTACAAAAGTCGCCCACATGGCTTTGTTTTAAGTAACAGAGATAACATTCTATATATTCCCGGAGGTTTTTGGTCAGCTGGCTGTTATGCTTGGCCAACAGGTAGACACAGCGGTTTTCAGCCGCTTCAGCTGGCTACTTGTTAGAAATGCGGCATCTGGGGTCCACCCTAGACCTAACCAATTAGAAACTACAGGGTAGGACCAGACAATCTGTGTTAAGAATTCCCAGCGATGGTGCTACACACTCAATTTCAAGAACACGGGTATAGATCAGCACTACCGTGAACTCACCTGCACCTAGGAGCCTTGATTTCTCCAGTCAGGACCAAACACGTCCATTCTCACACCCATGTCCAGTTTGTTCCTGATGGTAGGGGCTGGATGTGGTAGGGTAGTGGCCCAGTCAGCCACCTCTGTGTCTATACTGTGTGTACCCCTAAGATCAACACCCATCAAAACTCATCTTGAGGGTGAAACCACCCATCACTGCACAGGCAGGCAGAGAGTCCTTGCAGGCAGAGAGTCACAACATGGCCACCTTGACAAATTGGCAGCTATAATTGTTCCCATTTTATAAGAAACTGAGCCACAGCCCAGTTCACCCACAGCAAGATTCATCCCAGGTCTGTCTGGATTCAGACCCACAGCATTTTATCCTACACCACATTCCCCGAGACAGACAACAGGAGATTCTGTCTTTCACCAGGAAGACCTGCCCAACACCAGGATGAGTTTGATGAAGGCAAACTCATGTTCCCACATCCTTCAGCCAGACCTCAATGGGGCCATGTTTCTAGTGTACTTTCCTACCTGGTGAGTTTTTCAGGGCCCCTGATGCCTGGTGTCCCCAGTTTTATTCTCAATGTGCAGATACCGATGGGTAGGACTCAATTTCCTACTGCCAACTCCTTGGCTGGATTCCTCAGTGTTTTCATTTGCTGTTTTCCTGCAGGATTTGAGCCTCCCAATGGTGGGGACTTGGTTTATGGTGTCACGGTGTGCACACCCAGGCAACATTACCACCATGTCTCGTGGTTTTTGGAATACTCTGGAACATTCCTCCGGTTCAAGAAATGTTTTAAAAGCGGGGCAATGGAATGATGCAAGGACAACTCTCTGGATAAAAGGAAGTCTAAGGAAGACACATACCTTCCCCCAAACAGTGGATCCATTGTCAACTCACAGGGTATGCTCTGGCTTTTTTTCTCCTAATGGCAGGACTCACAGGGTTTGGTGGAAAGGACACTTGCGTCAAAGACCCTAGGCACAAGTCATATTTCTGCCATTCCAGACCATGGGGTCTGAGGCCCCCTGTCCCACCCTCCTTCAGCCTTATCATCAAACAGATGGTGATGCCTACAGAAATCTCCTCTACTCCCAATATCTGATTTCCCCTTTGCATGCTTTTCTGCTCACTTTCTAAAGGTTTGCCAACAACACTACCTCTCAAACATCATTCTTATTTCTAAATGATGAAACAGGCTTCTTTGTAGGAGGGTTGCTCAGACCTCATTCATTCATCTCTGCTGACTGCCTCCCCTTTCTTACTCATTTAATATCTACCAGTCACTTTCTGGGTGCCAAGAAATGTTAGGCCCTGCCTGGGCCTCCAGTACTCAGGAGAGGGTTGTGGGGCCACTGGCAGGGCAGTCAGAAGCATGAGTCGCTTCCCTTCCTCTGTCTGCAGTCACATGAGCAGGAGTTTGTGGGAAATGAGAGAAGAATCAGAAACCACCCTTCAAGCAAAACCACCTACTGTAAACATTTATAGCTATTAGCCACTGGGCTTGTTTAGGTGTTTGTGAGAAAAACCTTACAGAACAGGCTGAGAAGATGACGACTTTTTTCTCAGTGTCACCTAAAAAGTTCATATTGCTCTGGCAGGTTCTTCCCTTTTGTATGAATGTAAGATGCCAGATTCTCCCCTCAGTGAAAGAATTTCTAAATTGGGGAAATATGCTGCAAGATGAGGCTTAGAGAGATGGCAATTTGAAATAACCAGACCATGCATCTGTTCAGCTATTCCCACTCAATGCCTTCAGTTGGGGTGCATTAACTTGGATTTCTGATCTACCATTTTATTGGAGGTGCCGATTAAAGAAGTGGTCATTCTGTCCCCATGACAACGGTGGACTGGTGCAGCAAATTAAAAAATACAGTGGGTAGGGAAGGGGAGAGGGGAGGAGACAGGAGGGAAGCCAGAATGGTCTCTATAGTAACGGGAAAGCTAAGCCATGGTTGGAAGGAGGGGGAAGCTGTGATCTAGTTAAACCGGGAGGGCAGGACCAGGGAGGTGATGGCACCAGCAGACAGATGGCTAACATGCTTCGCCTATCGATAATTACCCTGTGGGGATTATGACAGGAGCAATGAGAGCTAGGAAGGAGAGCAGTGAAATAATTCAATATCGGTAACTCCATAATCTATTTCCTCTAGAAGGAGAAAATGTCAACATACGTTAAAGTGGAAGGCCGCAGAATACACTACCTCAGATTCTTGGTCCTTAAAATTAGACTCCAAGGCTGGCGTCATCATCTGGAGTTTGTTGAAAACTCAGAATCCCACCCTAGACCTGCTTGGTAAGTCAAATCAAAGTTTGCAAAATATCAATTTGTCAGGATGAGAGTGGCTTGTTAAATGCTTTGCAAGGCGCACTGACACAACAGTGAAATAAGGGCTAGTCTCAGAAAGGCTTGAAGTCTAGAATCTGCTCAGGTGCAGGCTGAAAGGGAGTGTGTAGTGGAGGGAATTTAGAAACACTAACACCCACCACGCCTTCCTGTGGCAGGGGCCAGTCTAGCTGAAATTCAGGTTAAAATCCTCCCGCTGCCATGACCTGGCCCACTCCATGTTCGCATTCCACAAAGCAGCTCAGCCATGGCACTGGGGCCTGCCCCAGAAGCACTTCTTTGATGAGGGCAGCCACAAAGTCATTGCTTTTCTTATTCTCTCTCTCTTCATCAGTTACATCTCTCTCATCACCATATAGCCTTTTAATTGTCTAATTCCACAGATGTTCCATTTATAGTCCTAAAAAGTCACTCTTGCAAACAAGTCTTATCCCCTTAAGAAATAGTTTGAGGGGGCTCGGATTATATGCAGGAAGCTTTGCTCCCACCGTGGGTGATTGATGGGCAGCTGATGAGTCCCCAAAATGTATCAGGGGAGTCAGCGCTGGCCTCATGGTGCCACCGCCTGTTACCTCATCTGTGCCCTCTCTGCAATGGCAGCGGGCAGATGCAGGGAGGGCCCTGTGTGGCCACTGCATATGTAATGGACACTGACAAGCTGGGGAGGTGAGAGGGGGGGCTGCCTATCTCTTCCCTCTCCTCCTCCCCAAACTTTCTAAATAAAGCCAGATCAGCTTCCCAGGATCCTTCCCTCACAGGCTCTCCCTCTCCCCTTCCCCCAGCACATCCGAACTCCTCCACCCCTCGGCCTCAGCCCGCTCCAGGCTGTCCTGTACACTGTGGGCATCTGGCAGCACCTGGGCTTCTACATTCAGGGTGCCAGTGTCTTATCTTTCTCCCTAGCTGGGGCAAATCACACTGTCTCCAGACACAGACAATGACCCTGCAGAGGGGAAGCAAGCTCCTCCCGGTTGAGAACCACTGGCCCAGGGTCTGGCCTCAGGACCTAGCATTAGACCTGACCATTCACCCTGCTATAACCAAATCAGGGAGGCTGAGTGACCTTGAAGCCACCCTGTATCATCTTCCTGTGCTTCAGTTTCCCACACTGTCCAAAGAGCATAGAAGAAGTACTTACCCCACACCAGGCTGCCGTGAGGGTTGTCGGTAAGCACACACACACGTCACCCAGTCACTCCCAGCTATGGTCCTTTCATTTACCTCTTAACAAGACCAAGTTTCTTGCAGTGCACATTGTATCTAATGTCTCATTTGCATAGCTTCTCTGTGGTTCTCATACGTTTACAGGTATTTTAAACACTAACTGGCTCACTGGTGAGAAAGGGCAGTGTGAACCTTAGCATGTGCTGGGAGAAGCCAAAGCCAATGTCTCTTCGCCCACCCTTGGCCTCCCCCCTAACCCCTTAACAGCTCAGCTTCCCAGGCCAGGCTCAAACCTGCCTTCCCCCCACCACAGCTATTCAAGCAGAAGCTTCCAAAGGCATCCTTCCTTTCTGCTCTCCATCTACATCTCAGTCCTGTCAAAGCCCCCCTTAAACATAGGATAGAGTTCTAGATGCTCATAGCATTTCACCTGTATATTGATATTAGGGCCCAGGGAATTCTTTCAGTTATAAATTATCCTTTGCATTGATACTGTCATTCTGGCTTCCTATCTAGTTCCGCTCAGGCTAACAGAGACCCAATTAAACATGGCTGAATGAATATGCATGTTCACAGTAGATTCTTTAATCCTATCTGTAATGCAAATTAAATAAGAGGTAGAATTACTTTAAGTATAAGAGGTAACCAAAAAATGAGGTCATAGAAGACTTTCATTCTGGAAGGGATAATCTTATGAGGAATTAGAATCTAACTCATTTCGTTGTAAATGAGACACCCATTTCTGTGTCCTAATCACACATCTTGACCTTACAGTCCTCATCCCTTTAGTCAAGGATGTTAGTTTTTGTGATCTTTTTTCCTAAAATAACCATTACATGAATTCATTCTCTACCCACACGTGTGCATTCACACACGCACAGACCCATGTTCTGGCTAGCAGTTTTCAGGAAACCTGGAGGGACCAAAGGAAGCCCAAGACCCCTCTCTTCCTGTGATGGCAGCAGAGCTTGGGACAGCTAGTGGGGTCCAAGGCAGTCATGGAGGGGAACAGTCTGTTCCTACAGGTCAGCAACTGTGCTCAAGACATGGCACAAGGATGCTTCATTTCTAAAAAGAAAAATCATTTCTTCCCCTCATTCACATTTAATTTCCCTTAAATTAGCTCTGCTTAGCCTTATACAATAGCATCAATTCAGGAAGAAAAGTAATGGCATTCAGTTGTGAGAAGGATTACACAGCTGGCACCAGTTTCCTTTTCCTTATGGCCTTGGCGCGTGGGGTCACATTGCACAGGCTCTGGGAGAAGATAAACTCTGGGTCACAGCCACAAAGGAAAAGATACTCTCAAATTTGAAGCATTTCCATGATTTATAACCAGGATAGCAAACCATCAAGTTCATCTAGCTGACAAGTGACTACAGTATGGAGCTGAACAAAGTTCTGTTGTGACAAACTGGGTATAGTGGGAGGGAATGCTGCAATAGATTAATAATGCCTGGGACTGGAACAGCATGGAGAGTGGTGTCACATGAGTGAAATGTACCACTCCTGGCCTAAAAATTATTTCAGGGAGGGATCTATAAATGGTAATTTGACAAAAACATGATCATAAGCTCATCCCTTTTGTATTGTTACCTCCTAAGAATCTGACACTTGAGTATGTTTATAAATGTCAGTGAATGGATGGATGTCATACTTCATGGAGTTATCCCTCATGTCAATTCAGATTTAGAACAGAAGTTACCAGTTACCTTAATAATGCTCTGGCAGGTGGACAGAGGCAGACCCACCAGGCTGGTGCCATTGATGGACATGATTTGGTCCCCGATGTTCAGCTTCCCTGATTTCTCTGCAGGCCCTCCATGCATCATGTTGGCTATGATTACGGTTGGCAAGATTGATCCCCAACCAGACTCCACAATCACCACACCAAGGATTTCACCTTTCTGCTTCTCTATAAAGACCTGAAAGGAGAAAAACCACTGAGAAAGCCTGAAACTGCAACTGTCCTCAGCAGCAACAGAAATGAAAGCAGCTGCCCCATTCCTGTCTTGGTAAGACATTTTGCAGTTGACGCCAGCCCAGATGAACCTTGTCTTCATACTCCAGAACATCTGGAGTTTGTAACACAGGCCTATACTGTGAGTCTTGTTTTGCATAAGCCACCTTGCCTAGGAACTACAACCACAAGGGGCCCAAGGGTTTTGTTTCTTTTCTGTGGTTCCCATGGTTGTGTAAGGGGGGTGAGGAGGGGCGTATTGGTCAGTTTGGTGGCATGTTATTGGGTTCCAAGACTTGCTTCTGGATTCTATGCACAGTTTCATCATACCATGGTGCTTCACAAATTTTCTCCAATATAACATTCTTGACTTGAATATAAATATACATTACAGAAATATTTCTCTGCCAGAGGAAAGTTGAGTGAAAATAAAAGATGATGCTAAAGTTATCACAGCCAAAGGTTGGAGAGAGATGCTCTAAATATGTATAGATTTTTGTAGCCTTTGCTGGTAGGGCAGAGAAGACGGGAGACCTGCAATCCAATAAGGTTTGCAGAGACCCCATAGAAGAGTAAGACACTTGCACACCTCTGACACGGGCGTCTTCATTTCATGCTCATAAACAGACATGTTCTCAACCCCAATGCCATGGCAGCTGCTGGGGCCTGCCCACTCCACCAGCCTGTCATCTTCTCCCAACTACTGACACTCAGAGATGGCCCGGCCCTGGAAAATTGTCCTTGGCTAAATGGGCGGCACCACATTATGCAATGAATTGTGTCCTTACCACCCCCCTTCCCCCACCTCTGGAACCTCACTCTGGAGTCCTAACCCCTCTTACTTCTTAGTCCAATAGAGGGTTTTTATAGAAGCAATCAAAATGAGGTCACTGGAGTGGGCCTTAATGCACTCTGATTAGTGTCTTTAAGTGGGGAAATGTGAACCCAGGGACATGCACAGTGGAGGACACAGGGAGACCAAGTGCAAGCCCGGGAGAGAGGCCTGGAACCTGCCTTCAGAGGGCACAGCCTCCAGAAGGAACCAACCCCGCTGTACCCTTCATGTCAGACATCCAGTCTCCAGGACAATGAGCCGGTAAGTTGCTGTGGTGGAAGCCCAGGGCCTGCGGGTCTTAGTCATGGCCGCCCCTGTCCAGCCTTGGGGTCAGTGATAAGTGCAGGGGACACTGGCCTGCCAGCAATCTTGGCCCAAAGTGAGACCAGTCTGTCCTGTGATGTGTGACCTGGAGCTGTCCTTTGTATCAGAAAAGCTCATTTCCAGCAAGGCCATACTCCTCACCAGCCTGACCACCTCGCTTTTTCCTGAAGGCATGTTCACAGGTCCCTGCATGAGAAGCCCCATCTCAGGCTCTGCTCCTAGTAAGCTCGTGACTTCAGACTCCCCTTAGCAGGCAGTTGAGATGGCTTTCCCAGAGAGGCTCTTTCACCTACCAGATGAAGTCCAGGCTGTGTTCTCACACCCCCTGGGTCTGACCTGAGCCCTGGGCTGATATCCAGGGCTCCCTTCTCCCTCCCATTCCAGCCACAGCAGGCTCTCGGCACAGTTCCTGAGCTTTCTAACAAGCCCTTCCTGTGGCCCAGCCCCTTGCACACCTCTGTACTTTCCAGCCCAGTTCTGATGGGCCTATTTTCCTCCAGACATTCCTGCAGAGCTTGCTCTGGAGCAAAGGGGGAGTCCCCAGAGGAACGCAGGCTGTACGTTCCCTGAGCCCTGTTCATCCTGCCAAGCACAGTATCTCTGGTCAGTGCTTTACCCAGTGCCATCCTTTAACTTGCAACTGACCTTTCCTAGACTATAGGCTTCATGAAGCTCCTGCCTGTCTCTGAAACCAAACTTGACTGCCAGGAGCCAAGGAGACTATGTCTCCTTGGCGCGGGCTCTCCTCAGTGGTTTTAATAACAGGCCTCTCTTGGGGGGGGCAGAGACCCCAGCAGCATCCTACCAATACCATACTCTTCCTCCCCAGCTCTGCTTTTACTTCCACATCAGACTGTTTCCCCATGAGCCTCAGGCTCCTGTCCTGCTGGCCTGCTCAGGGATGCCCTTCAGCAAAATACAGGGTGTCCTCTCTTTACATCCCTGACAGGTTCTTGGAAACTGAGTTATAATGATGAAGCCACGGTGCACATCTGGGTGTGTGGTGGCAGGGTGGAGTGAAGGGATAGTGGGGAGGGTGTGGAACTGCAATACCCAGAGAAGCCACAAGATGTGGACAAACTGCAAACTCCACCTTGACACTGGGCCCAGTTCGGAGCTAACTTTTTTCTTACTAATGTTATCATGAAACAACATCATTCAAGAACCTGCTGTACTTACATCTTTGCAGTTTTCTGACTTGGAGAAATGGATCAAATCGTCGTTGTACATGTCCTGGGTATTGAGCAGGTCACTGTACTCCTTCTGGCTGAGGTCTTCGGGGTTGATCCCGTTGGCCCTGAGGAACTCCTGGTATGCCACGCTGAAGGCCTGCCCGATGGACTGCGCAATCAGCTGTGCCTGCAGAGCACACCGGAGGACAGGTCAGCAGGGCAGTGCTGCTGGGGGGATGGCCTGGGCCCACCAGGACCCCAGAGCTGGAGGCGTCAGGCCTGGGGGTCTGCACAAACACTAAGGCAGCCAGATGTGCGGAACTCACTGCCATGCAAAGGCTAGTCCTACCCCATGGTGAGCCCGATGTCCCAATACCCTACTGCATGATCATGTTCATGGACATGCGTCAAGCTTTGAGCCTAAGACTCAGCTCAAGTTTATATGAAAACAAGTCAATTTCCTGGCTCTAACAGATACTGAACTCCCAAGAATACTACTGCCATGTAAATGGAGAGATGGTGACATTTACTTTGGTCTAGCACTTTACCAGGAGGAAGTGTTCACTCTTTTGGAAACTGCTCTACGTCACTGCTATTTGGTCTCTGGGCTGTCAGGAAAGCACAGCAGTGCCAGGGTGCAGTCCATTGGCTGTGTGCATGAGTGCATGCCTGTGTCTGCCTTGTTTCTTCTTAACCCTCAGGGAACAACTTGGAATATTCAGCCAAATACGGTGTTCTTGTATCCACACTTACCAATCAAGGAGGTGTAAGCGCTGATGGTGCCCTTATTTCTTCCAGAGGGTTAGGCTCAAGTGTCTATATAGTCTAGTAGTTGCAATTTTATTTCAGTTTGCTTTTCTTTCTCTTTTGTGTTACATTTATGGCAATACTGTGATTATTTTGTGAAAGAAATCTGAAAGTGGGGTTATCATTTATGAACATCAGAATAGGAACGAGACATTGCAAAATACCTGTAAAAGGGAACACTGTGGCCAACAAAGTTGAGAGCCCTGAGACTAACCCTGTATTTCCCAGGTGAAGAGATTGAAGCCCAGAGACACAAAGGAACCTGCTCAAGGTCACACAGCTCATAAAATGCTTCCATTGTTCTTTCTCCTGCTCTGAGCTTTGAAAACCTTTCTGTTCATTAACAGATCCAGTCTGACCTGGAGAGCCAGCAGCAACTGAACACTTCTGTACAAGGACCATCCCAGGAAACCTCACAACAAGTCTATGGCATGTGCACAAGCCCTCACTCTAAGCTCCTGAGGCTGTTTGAAAATTTCAGACTTCAAAAAGGTAGCAGGGTGCCTCCCTGGCGCCACACAGGGTTAAGTCACAGCACTATGAAGTTTCAACAGCCACTGCAGTGAGTTCAATCCCTGGCCAGGGAGCTGACCACATGGCGCAGTGGACCTCTCCTGTCTCACCTACTGCTCTCCTCAGCGGTAGATTTCAGTGGATCTGCCTGTTCTGCTCCCCACTCTGTCTCTGGTGAGTCCTCCCACCACCACTGTCCCTCTGGCTTGTACCCCTATTCTGTATGCATAAATAAATGAATCTTTGAAAAAAATGGTGCATATATCTAGGGAAATGCTCTACAAATGAACACAGTAATATTTCTGTAGTAAAAGTGTAAGAAAGTTGGACAAATCCTATCAATTACCTCATAGCCGCTCAAGACAGGTTTATTACCCAGTTGACTACAAAAGTCCTCTTTGTTTCTCACACTTCTTCATTGTGGTTCTGTTTACTGTACCCCCTGGACACATCAGGAAATGGAGGTCAAGCTATCCCCTCCCAGGGTCGGAGCAGGGTGATTACAGAGCTCCCCTCTCCCACCAGACTGCCTTTCAGTGCAAGTCTAATGGGTAAATGGGTAGAAAAACAACACAATAAAGCTCTAATGCAATGTTTAAAACACACACAATTCTAACTTCTGCTTACTTTCCCCACATTCTTGCAAAAGAGCTGTCAATCACAGAGGTATTACTTCTATGTGGCTGTGTGGGAAAAGGTAGGTTCAACTTCCTCACTAAAAATCTGGTAACTTCATGTGCCACAAGTCATTAACAGCACCTGCATCCTGCTGTCACCCTCAAAGGGAGCAAGGAATCAGAGCATCTATGGTCAAACTGAACAGCACATGTCCAGGCAGAGAACCCAAACTTCCTGGCCAGCCACAAATGGGTATCCCGCGGGGCTCAGCCTGCTGGTATTTACACAACCTCTACAGTCACAGAGCCCATCAAGGGGGCGCTATCACTTTACAGAAGCACGCAGACCTCACAACTTGTACGTGGGTGGCATTCCTATCTGGCTTTCCAGGAACAAAGGGCCACATTCTCAGGGCCATTTTAACCTGTCCACTCCACCCAGCTCTTTCTCTTCTTTCGGCAGCCTCCTTGCTAGACCCAAAGGAACCCCAAGGAAGAGAATCTCCTCTGTGGGAACAACAAGGCAGGTGGAGCTCAGAGGGACATATGGGCAATTTTCTTTAAATAGACTGCAGGCCACATGAGTCTAAAGATTTAAAATTTTAACTTTCAGAACAACTTTCTAAAACTGTTTTCAAGTTTTGCTCTAGTTTTATGAGTAGAGAGAATGGCCATAAGAGCCTTTCTCAGTGACCTTATCCCTGGAGCTGCATTTGAGATGAGACTGAAGGCCAGTGCAAATAGGGAAGGTTTCTGGTCAGCCAGCACAGCTTTGGCTCCCAAGAAAAAGAAGCTGAACACTCTCATGGATAAAAATCACCTCTGTTAAGGAGCTAAGGCTACAAAAGGCAATTTTCTTTAAATAGACAAGGGCTCTCTGCTCAGTAGGAGACACAGAGCTTATTCCTCTGTGGCAGCAGGAAAATTAGCAGTCAGTGGCACTGCCATGGGCCTCTCCAGGGGCTCTGTGATTCCAAACCTTTGTGGGACTGCGGTCCTGGGCTTGGAAGGGGCTTCCAAGGCCTGCCAAAGTTAACGAGTGTGGGTGCACAGTGTAAAGAGCCCTTGAAGCCCGTGGCCTGGCCTGCAGTGCCTGGGGGAGGAAGGCCTAAAGGAGGAAGTGGCTCCACTTCTGCTGTAAACGGTTTCTCTCCACTGACTTCATTTCCTGGGGAAATGTAGGTCAGGAATCATGACATGGGCTTCATGACAGGAGGCAGCTCATTTTCAGAAGGACTAGGGTGAGTGAGTTGTAGGGACAGGAAGCAACCTTCCTGCAGCCCACAGGGTGTATAATACACCCCCAAACTGTCCTTTCCAAATGCCCAAATGTCTCGGTGAGACTTCCTAGGGCCCCTGTGCATCTGATCCTACACTTGTCTCATTCTAAATTCTTTGGCAGCTTGGCCCTATGGCCTTTCTCAAACTACCAGCAGGTCCCTGCCTCAGGGCCTTTGCACTGCCTCTTCCCTCACTCTACTTTATTGAGGTCTCTACTGAAATGGTACCTCTTCGGAGACCACTTTGGTGCGCCAACAACCTGAATTAGCTCCCACCCTTTCTGCCCCTGACCTAATTTTATTTTCCCTTCTTGAGTTCTCCATTACCTATTTCATATCATACTGGTCTAGTTTTTTGTCTCCCTACAACACTCATGATGAATACTTGGCTTTCTCCTGCCTATAACCCTTAACACCAGGACAGTTTCTGCCACATAATATTTGCTTCAGACTGATTCAGGTTCTGAGAAGCAAAGAGAACAGGCTACTGGGAGGAGGTCAGGGAAAGTCACTCTTACATCCTCGGACTCGAAGACATGGCAGATCATCTTGTACTGCCTTTTTCCATCCTGGGATGGGTGGGAGGCTTCCACGTTCTCCTGGGAGTTGGAGCGGGGCATTCGCCTGCGGGCCATCAGCACTACGATATTCCCGATGTCTGCGATGTAGGAGATGGTCCTCAGAGGGTGGTCCATCATGGTCTCCTGAGAGGCAGAAGGGTGAGGTGGTGAGTGCAGGGTGGCAGCTAATGAGCCCTGAGAGGCTGTCACAGCCCACTCACATGCAGGGGGCTGCAGGGCTCTCACATCAACCCCTGCTCAGACTTCCTTGCTCCCACCCAGGGCTGGGGACAATCTCTTTGACTAACAATAGCCCAGAGCAGGAAGTGGTCTGTGACAGGCAAAATGGAATTTCAGTTGCTTTACAACCAGTAGAATATTGGGTGGGAAAGTTAAAAAAAAATTTAAAAATCTACACACAATGATCATGTTTTGTTCTTGTGTGTGTGATTTGAAACACAATTTCTTAAAAGGTGAATAGGTTCAATTCCATAAATGTCTGTTAAGAAACGTATGAGAATTCTATAGCAGGAGTCTAAAGGACCAGGGGAGAAAATAATAATAATGAACAAGTATATACCAGAGACTTTTTATGGGGGTGGAGTGGGGAATAGGATCAAAAACGGTGGAGAGAAGGAAATGCACTGGACTATGGTGATGGCACATGGGTGATTTGGTGATGGGAAGCCCATGGGGATTGCAACTGAGATGGAAAAAGGCACAAAATGATATAAAAATAAACTATGTTATTTTAAAAAATCATTTGTTAAGCCAAAAATAAAGATCTCTGCTTCATTGGAGGGAAAAAAAAAAAACTTACGAGAATTCTTAAACAACATCCATGGCTTATTTTTTCTTCGATCTTTGAGAAAGCCTCTTTTCCCCTCCCCTACCACTGTGCTCAACCCCAGCCGGCCAGAAGGCACTGCAGACACTAGCTTGCACAAAAGTCAGAAGCTAGAGCATGCAGGGACCGCCTTCTACAGACACAGGCACAGACTTTGGTTTGCTGCTGCAAAGCCTCACCCTGGGGAAAATGGGAACCAGATAATACCTGCGTGTCGGCATTCAATACTTTGATTCTCTGGGTAGAAATGAAGAGATCCACCTCAGTCATCGGCTGAGATTCACCTTCGGGAGCCTGAGGAGAAAAAATGCATCGAGGGAAAGCTTAATACATCACTCGGACTTGGGTGCATGGGAGCAAGGTTAGCTCACACACAGAGGCATTGAGACACAGTCACCAGAACAGCAGTGTAGACTCCAGAATTAGACTGCCAAAGCTGAGGGGACCACACAGAGGATGGACACATGGACCAGAGTCAGCACCTCCAATTTACAGGCAGAAGTGTAGAGTCCCCTGGGTTTCTTCCCCTAAAAAAGCAGTAACTCTGCCGTAGGTTCGATTTGATGAACAAGGACTGAGGATGACTCTTACTACAAGTGTTTTAGAACCCAACAGACTGAAGAAACAGGGGTAGTGGACTCATCCAGGACATCCAAGTAGTCATTTAGAATCTGTCCCTGCTCAAATGATAGAGAACAAAGTCTGTAGTGGGTAAGTGAAGTCATTTGCATGCAGTTCTGGTAAAAGGGTCTCTGTGTTCACACACTAGCCCAGCAACACAGAAGCAGTACCCCATCCTGAAGCCACCCCATTAAAAGCCCCAATGCCTCAATACCCCGTGGGTAGCTCCTAAAGCACCTAGAAGCTCCACAACCAAAAAAAGCAAATCAGTTTGGCTCATTTGGGGCTAGACTCTGCACACATGTGGTTATTAGCAAGTTTTCTTTTTTGCATCCAGCAATCTGACAATCCACAAATCGAACAGACCCAATCCCTGCCACATCCATGTTCCCAAATGGCGGGAACTTTCACACTCCTCTATGGTTCATTTAGCATCTCCAATCTGGTTCCTGTCGTTCCTCTGAAGTGAAATGACTAATGAGCAACAGAAAACAGCCATTTTAGGCAACTGAGTTTTGAGAAACGTTGGCTTATGGGGGCGGTTCAAAAGAAATCTGAACAAAAACTTGCTGGATGCAGAAAACAAAAACACGAAATAATAAAAAGGCAAAACATAAATAAATGAAAAGACAGTCATAACACCACGCTGATGAAGTTGTACTGCACCTTCTTTCTGCTTTTGGCTAATTTCTGGGCCATCTGCTTAGCATGGAACAAACAGAGACAGGAGAACAGTTAGAAAAGAATTTGCAGAGAGACTCAAAGTTGAAAAGGGATTTGACAAACTAATATTTAGCGAGCATTTCTGTGGGAGGAGGACGGGTTTTAAAAAATCCTACTCTCCAACTAATGTCCTAATTCAGTTTAGTAGTGCAGCAGGAGGAAGAAAATACACTGAGGTGGTTCGTACACTTAACTCTAAGGTTTGCAAAGAACCAACTTTTGTTCTAGTGATTTTATTACATGCCTCCTTGCTATTTCACCTTACATCTTTATTCTACTTTCTTTAGTCTGCTGTTTTCCTTGAGCATCTATGGATTTTCAATTTTTTTTCTTTTCTAAGAACCTATTTCTAAATGCTGTACCCCATGAATTTTGTTTTGTTAGAATAATTTCATTGAAAACATTTTCTAATCTCCACTGTGATTTCTTCTCTGAATCATGGATTATTTAGAACTGTGCTACTTTTTAAAATAAAATGGGGGTTTTCCTATCTTTTTGCTACTGGATTCTGAATAATTTCATCGTGGTCTGAGAACACATTGTGATTTTGTAGAGCCCAGTACATGTCTGGCTTTGGTGAAAGTAGACTTCAAAAGATGCATCCTATTAATATCAACAAGTCAATTCAAGTAGTTATTGGAATATTACTTAACTAGGTACATAGCTTTTTGTCTGCTTATTCTACCATTTATTGAGAGACATATGTTAAAATCTCTAGCAATTATTGTGGATTTATCCACATATCCTTTTGGTTAAGTCAGTATTAGTTTTACCTATTTTATGTTTACATCACAAAATACATATTAAAAGAGTTATATCCTCCTGTTGAATGAATCTTTCTATTGTTGTTCCTCTTTACTGCTAGTAGTACTTCTTTGCCTTAAAAATCACTGTTACAACATAACCTACATCCAATGAGGAATGCCTGTAACATTTCCACCTTTCTCTTAAGCAAAAGCAGAGATTCTGGGGTGGGACTGTCTGAAACTAAATCCTGGGTCTGCTACCTGTGAATAGTCTGACTTTAAGTCACTGAATATCTCTGTACCTCAGTTTCCTCATCTGTCAAGTGAGGATAACAACAGTATCTACTTCCTAAGGCTATTTTGAATATTCAGAGTTCTTAGAGCAGTGTCTGGTACATAATAGACACTTGTGTTTACAGTTACATAACTACCATGTACAATTTCTCAGCTATTGGTAGGGTTTGCTGTATATACACACATCTAATACAAATAATGGTGAGTCAATGGCCAAACCACAAACGCTGTTGTGATGGGGGTGGGGTGGCGAAGAGCTGCCCTCTCACATGCCTTGGTACTCACCTGGCAGAACTCTCCTTTGCTTTCAGCAGCCCATCTCTAGTTCATTAATGTTTGAATTGTGTTGTCTGTACTAACTCTCTGTAGAGAAACTGAACGAGTCAGCCATCCAAACGCCAAATAGCTAGTCCTTGATCTACCCAGAAAAATAGGGCAGCCCCACTCCCACGAAGTCACCCCCAGCTCTTCCTGTGACCACGGTTCATGGTGAACAGTTCCCAACTGCTGCACGACAGAGGGAACGCTCCTGCATCTGAAGAGTGGCCCTATGATGATGGGGCTATTCCATGTCACACAGGATGCCTGGATGGAATCAAAGAGTCCTCTGGGCACGTTCTGACCTGCATCTGTGATGATCCTCGCTGATAAATGATGCTAGTGCATGTGTGGTGTTTTCTGCCCCCTTCCTTGAAATGATATGGCAGTAATCCAAGAATTGCCATTTCTTCTGAAACCAGACCTAACAGTTATTAGAATTTCCTCACTCTGGGACAAGTGATCTGAAAAGGGTTTTTTTTTTTTCCCCCAAAGGAAAGTAGGTCTGCCATTAATGGAATGCCCAAATTCTGTTTTTCACTAAAATGGGTGATGGGGAAGATGACCCAAAAAGTGACCCAAGTTTCATGAAAGGCACTCTAAAATAATGTTTAAGAAGTTAAAAATATTTTATATACTTAGAACGGTATCCTCATTAAATCATTTATAGTATTCAAGTGCCCTGAAACAAATTAGAGTTAAAAACTGAGATGGCAACAGTAGAAATGAGGAGGCTGGCATCAGAATGAGAAACTGGAGTAACAGGGTTCCAAGAGAAAGGCGAGCCAGCAGGAGCCTGAACACAAGGAACGACAACATCTGTTTAAATTCCCCTGTCTCATGGGAACGACTGTGGCCTACCCCCGGCAGCTGTATGAAGAGGACAACAGGCTCTTGCTCTGGCCACAATGGAGGGTTCACTGGTGGCAACACTATAGGTCAGCTACGCTGAAGGGTGACTGTCGCAGCTTCTGTGTCCCAGCTGATGATTACTGAGCACATGTTATGTGCCAGGCCCTTCCCAAGCATTACAGGCACCAGTGTAAAAACTTACAATAACCCTGGGAGATAGGCATTACAGAAATCTCACCTTTCAGAAAAAGAAGCAGAGGCAAAAACAGGCCAATTTATTTGTCCAAGGTCACACTTTCTGTGAAAGGCAGGATAGAGCTTCAGGCCCCAGAAATCTCATTCTATTCTTCAAACCACTAGTTGTGCAAGTCTAGCAAGTTTCTTATCTGTGAACATCTAAGTTTGCCTATAAAACAGGGTAACTATCCTCACCTCACGTGATTCTCCATCTCCTCTGTTCTGAGGAATAAAGGAGCAGAGAAGGACCTGCTCTAAGGATCCCTGTCGTCTTTCTTAACCACAGAACTCTTTCTTCAAGTCAGATGGACAATCTCATGGCTTAGATAAAGCTACAACGACAGCAATTTTAATTCTAGCCACTATTGATAGTAATTGTGAACAGTAAGAAAATCTACCAGAGAATAGAAAAATTTGATATGGAGGGACAGGCAAGTAAAGACAGACATAAGAATAATTGATAATGAATCCTCCTTATAAAAAAAATACCAAAAAAACATCATTTGTGAGCTAATGGCATGCACTTCACAAATGTGGAAAGAATGCAGACACAGATACCACACTCTGCATGGATGTGAAAAGGGGTGGTTCCCTGGTCACCCATCTTCTAAGGAGCTGAGAATGGAATGGGAATGAGGGTGGAGTGAAGTGAGGGGAGAAGGCAGACAAGTGAGCTGACTGCACTGACTTCAAGTTTGGTTGTCCAGATGGGGTCAGGCACAAGTGCCCCCCAGGGAGCAGGAGGTGTCTCTACTTGAGCACTTGAGATATTGGCATTATGTAGAGCTGAGCTCTGTCCAGAAGTTTCTCCCAAAACATGTCCCACAGCATCCTAGCAAAGACACTTCCACAGATCACACAGTGGCAAGAATTTTGTATGCAAACCACGGTGGGACCTGCGAGTTCAACAAAGTGTGTAATTAAATCTCGCCGGTACAGGACTTATTAGAGCCTTTAAAGGAAACCACCTAGGGCAAATAGCTAAAAAGACCTGTGATATAATGTTTTTTGAACATTATTTGCCAATGGAGTCCTATCAGCAACAGTGGTTGGCCTGACAGGAAGCCACAGAGCACACGGGGAGAAAGGGCCAACCCACCCTTCTCTGTTAGTGCCTCCCTGGCTGCAGTGCACACCAGTGTCTCCTGGAGGGCTGAGGAAGACAGGTCCCTGGCCTGAGAGCCCAGGGGATGATGCTGGCCCAGTAGCCCCACTTTGAGACCTCTGTGCTAGTGCATTCCCACGTTGTATGGACACTTCCCGGGAGGACACTATTTCTTCTAAAAACCAACAAAAGAGAAAGGCTACAATTGGGAGGGTTCAGAGAACAAGAAAAAAAAAAGGCAGATGTTTTCTAATTCTGCTATTGCATTTCAGATACACCTATTTTTTAGATTTTGGTAGATGGAAAAAAGTCTTAATTTCCTGTTTCTCAGAAATGGGCCTGAGCCCCATGTGACTGTTACCTAAATTCCCATATTAGACTGCACTGTTCTTAGCAGCAAGGGCTGGGTGGTGGTTAATTTTGATCTCCTACAATTATATGTCTACCACAGGGTATGCATGGGGACAGTATGCTTTCTGAGCAAAATTCCTGTTTTATTCTCAAGGAGAACACATGTGCTAAAAGCTCAACTCCACATTCTCTACTCCTTTGGCAAATAATGTACATTTTATGTTAAATTAAGAAAATTGTAATTCTTAAAATTCCAAATGTAGAGCTTTTCTTCCTCTGTCTCCTGGATGTGCAGTAAGAAATCTGAAGCTGCATTCTGTTCTGCCCAGAGTAACTCATTCCTGAGAGAGCTTCTTTAGGAAAAAGCCTGACTCCACCTCCCTTAGAGAAGGGAGGTCTGCGAGGTGGGTACAGGGCTCACACATCCAAGACCACCCAGGCACCTTCAGAAATCCTCTGGGCCCCAGGGCCCCTCTGCAGGTGACGAAATCCCTAGCACACTCCCTGCACATTGACTTTCTAGGCGGTGCAGAAACAAAACAAGGGTTCTGAACACAGCTGTCTCTACAGTGTTCAAAACCATCAGGCTGGGTAAAAAGTCAAACAATCTGATGGGCATTTAAATGGCAGAAAACGTTTAATACAGGCAACAGTTTTTTCAGATGCACAGAAGCACATTATAAATGATACCTATAAATGAAATGTAACCATTTAATCTTACTGCTCTATAATGAAGTCCTCACACTAGAGTAAAGTGCTGTAAAAATAAATATATGTTTTCCAGATGGCTATTTTTCTCTAAGTAGGCCTAGAATGGATTTATAACTAGACAGACTCTATCTTGCTCTGATCGACAAATCTAGGCAATTTTTGTTTTTGTTCACATGATATGTGGTTCTTGTTAATACCAACCCTTTGAAGCTTCAAAATAAACTTTCTGGTTTCTTATCAGGAACTAGACTTTAAAGGGGAAAACAACACTCTCAGACCCACTGGGCATATAAGATCTAGTTCCCAGTACACTTGGCATTAGGTGGGGCTGGTACTGGGGTGCTGTGGTCTAATCTGAAGCTCCATGTTGGCACGACTCTCAAGGTCACTGAGTTTTAACAGACATGTCAAGGCAGTGGAAGGACACAGAAACTACCTGTAGGGGTCAAGGGCTACCTGTTAGGACAGCAATAACCAAGGTGCCCCAAGTGAAATCCAAACCTTGACATATTTGCAACCTTGACTACAGAACCTAGGATACTCCAACCTCGGAGCAGCATGCAGTTTTCTGTCTCAGGGGCTTCAGCAATCCTTCAGGGCTAGACGGTTGCTCTGTTCTGGAAGATTTATCTGCATGGGCCCTGGCAGCTCTCCTTCAAGGGCTTGGGGAGAATGCATAGGTATTTTGGTGGCAAGAAATCTTGGTCCTCTGACCCATCCTGGACAGTCCAGAGCATCCAGCATACTTGGCTCTGGCTCGCTGCCAGTAACTGCCCCAGACACCACAACAACCAAACTGCTACCTACACATTTCTGAACACCACTTTAGAAACATCCCTGGCACTAGCAAGTCATGCCAGGGCCTTGCAGCACTACCAATCTAAGAACATCACTCATTCAGGAAACTGAATCCAGTATGGGGGTGGGAAGGGGTAGGATTGCCTGAGCGGCTCCATGGCCTGAGCAACCATTTTGTTTGGCTAAGCCACTGGTGCCGACTTGACACTAGCCCCTCAGATAAGAATGTCCCCCAGATAGAGAGCAGCCCACTGAGGAACCAGCAAATGCGGGTCCTGACAGGACTTCCCCAAAGCCCTGTGGCAGCAGTCTCTACCTCTCACCCCGCTGCCTGCCCCTCCCCCCCTCAGCTGAGACCCACTCTTGTGGTTTGAACTGACCAAACTGGCCTTGCCCAGGACTTGTAGAGCACCCCAGCCATGGCCCTGACAAAGGCATGTGTCCCAGGGGCCTGACTCGCTCTACCTGCCCCTCTCTCCTTCCCCACAGGGCCCTTCCAGGGGTTCTGGGTACCTTCCTCCAGGGACTCTGAGGAATAAAACTTCTCCAGCTCACTTTCTCTTGAGGTCTTCTGTTCACCCTCTGGAACCCTAGGCTCTACTTAACAAATATTAATTTAACCAAACATGCTGCGTTCGTAACTGTGGGACTTTGTGGAGTCAAAGCTCTGTCCCCGGGGGCTTTGTTTTCACAGTTCTCTGCTCTGTGTGAACTAGGACAGCCGTTGCCCGAAAGTAGCCTGTTTTCTCCCAGTTAGTGTGTTCCTGTTTTCAATGCTGGGCCAGGGGAGCTTAAATTGAGGAGGCCCAGCAAGGTGTGAGGGCACTGATGTCACCTCTTTATAATAAGGTGGGGTGGGGGGCAGCGAAGAGACCAGGACACACTCAGACAGGCACCTGACATTCTACCACTGACATTACTGAGTCTGAGAGGCCCAGAAGGTCAGGTCGGGATCTTTCCTGGTGGGAGCATCTCAGAGCAGAGGCCCTGGCACTCTCCTTGTCAATCATCCCAGGGAGGCTAATTTTCGGACAAGGCATGGACACTGATGAAGGGGCCTGGTGGCTGCAGGGCCTCTGAGGCACAGACAGGTTTGTGTGTCCTGAATGAGGTGGGAGAATGGTCCCTGAGCCTGGAAGACACCCATAGGTACATCAGCAACCTTGACACTGGGTCTGGCCTGTGGGTGCTGTGGTAGTAGCCACCTCTAATGCAGCTGTAAATTACTCTCTAGCTTTTCAAGCTCATTCTGAAATGTCAGCAATAGAGTCAAAGTTGTGTGAGGGTCACTGCTACGATGGGCAGTTCTGGGGAAGGCCCAGGGCTGAGCTGGGGAGGGGAGAGCCTCTCCCAGGCAGAGGCATGCTAACAGCAGCAGCGCCTCCTGGAGGTCCTGGTGGCAGGAGCTTGGAGAACATGAGGAAGCAAGGAGAGGGTACTGGGGTGGGGTGGGGGGCCACAATTATGGTACCAATGGACATATGACTTTAACATCTGCAATGTGGCAGAGTCTGGGTCATTGGATAACCTGGGACCAGCAGCCCCACCTCTGTCCCGCATGACCTTTGTAACTCTCTGCTCCCCCCCACCCCCCGCCTGCTGTCCCCTGTGTCCTCTGGCATCTCTAGGCCTCCCTGCACTAAGGTGCTTAGGGTCCCAGGAACTCTATGTGCAGTGGCTGATTTGATTCATTTCTCAATTGGCCTGCTGAGCACAAGGGTTATGGTCTCATGTTTCAAACCACTATTTTCCCTCCTGCTAGGACCTTGTGCAGCCTTGCACATATAAGTGCTCAAGAAAACAAAGATTTTTGATAATGAGATTAAAAACTCTCATTGGGCTTCTTTCTCATTCCATGTTGCCACAAAGACACCATGATGGGAACACACAACTTGGGAAGAGGTGAGTGAGAAGATGCAAAAACAGAATGGTTTGCTTGAGGAAGGAATGCATTTGACCACCTGAAACTAGAGGAAATCACTTCCACCGAGTCCCAACCTACTCGAATGTGATGCTGTCTCTCCAGGGGGTGATGGTCTCGAGCTCCAGTGTGGCTGCCTGGTGGCCCTGGGTGCGGTGGCACCTAATGGCATCTGAATGGCGGGCTAACCCTCAATGTCCCCGAGTCCTGGCTTTGCCTATGATTCTACTTGGTACTGGCATTGTGGTTATGCCAGAGCTCTGCCTGTCCATGGACTCAAACTGGTTCCAGCCAGTTCGAACTAGCTGTAAGTGCTTTAAACTAGACAAAACAGGCTCACTGCTTTTATATCATGATAAAACAGATTCCAGTAGGTTATGACCGGTTCAAACTAGTCTAAGCTGGGTCAACGCCAGGTTAGGTCTGGTCAGAGGTTTGTTTCACTTGAAGTAAGACAACTGGATCTAGCGTGGGCCGGATCAACAGGTTCAAAGCAAGGAGACAAGTATGAGCCACACAGTAGCTCACTTGGAAGGCATTGACCTCCAGCTGCCAGTGCAAACACATCGACGCATTTCTCATCCTGGGCATAATGCTCCAAACCTATCTTTCCTCAGCATATCAGCTTTTCAGTGTGTTTGTACATTTCCTCAAAACTAGCCATTAGCACACCCAGCTAAGTAGTATTTATATAACATGACTCAAGTATGCTTTGGAAATCTTTTCTCTGTTTAAAACCACTAGCAGGCCATAATACATAAGCACCGTCACCCTCAATGTCACCCCAATCCACTCTCCTCTAAGTTCAGGACTAGATATGTGAGGTGCAGGGTGATGGCTCAGGTGTCTGCCCTGCCAGCCCCCCTCTCAAAGCACACAGCACCCCTCACCTTGATCCTGCTCACCGCCTCCTGGGCTTGCATCATGCGCACGTTTTTGGAGGGGGTTTTGTCCGAGAGCAGCTGGGTGGAGCCAAGGTAATTGGCAGCAAAAATGATTCCATCGATCAAGTCTTCAGGGTCACAAGGTCCAGGAACTGCAACACACAGAGCCACTGAGGTGAGTGAAGTCACCCCAAGATGGGACTGCCACATCCCTGATGGCACACGCCTCCCCCACCTCAAAACCACCACAGGTGGGTCAGTTCTGGGGACTCCTGAAGAGGTGACATCAGGTTGACTTGCTTTGTCTTGAGTATCCCTGTATCTGCCTTCACTTCCCCCTCATTTCAAGCAGACGGAACAATTCTTAATTTACTTCACCTAAGCTCTTTAATGTGAGAAACAGTGCAAATATTTAAATATGAAACAAATTCAATGATAAAGAATTTCCTTCCTCCTAGCAGACTGTGAGCTCTTTGGGGACAAGGACTACGTTCATCTTTAGCTCTCTTATAGCCAGTCAGCATCTGTCACCCAGAGGGTATCAAGTAGATGCTTGATAAATTCATTTGACAAACAGTACATTGCCTTATTAGAATGTCTCATTGTGAAGCAGCTCTTTTATTTTTAATCCTTTATTTCTCCCCCTTCCATTTTATAAATCTAATTTATTTATAAATTAGAAACAGGATATTTGCTTGAGAACATTCCTTTAGTGGCCCCCAGCCCAAGTTTTGCAAGACAGGTAACATTACCTAAAATTGGGGTGTCATGCCACCATCCAGCCTATGTCCCCACAAAGATCAATGCAAGGAAAATCAGTATTATCTACTCTTATTGCTCAGTCTTGTAAATCCAACTTTAGCATGAAATACTTGAAATGATTCTAACCATAAACACTTGTAAACCTAATTAAAACATGTCTGGGACTTTATAACAGATACATTAAGAAGGGCATTTTAATTCTGTGATAAGAATATACATGTAAATTCTTTGACTTGACTGAGGTGCTACCAGAAACTTTCACACACTTCATACTCTGCCATATGTGGGGGGGGACTAAAATATACATTTTGATCCACTGTTAAAACCCCAGGTTTTAAAATTAGAAAATTGAAGTGGAAACAATTTGTTTTTTTTCTTTAGTGGTGCCAGTCTGAAAGGGTTTTTATTTTGATTTTTGTATATCAAACTCATCTGGAGTCTTAAACATTGCTTCTCGTGATTAACTCTGTACCCTGACAAGTAGCTTATTTACTATTTTTCTAAAGCCAAGGTGGTAGTTGAGACAAAGAAATTAACAGCGATTTAGGCCAGGCCTTCAGAGGGCATCAGCACAGTAGTGATATAAAGAAGCCTCCTGCTTGCTCTGCTCTGCATCTTTCCAAGGCCTCTGGACAATGCCATGAGAAGCACACAGCCTCACCTGCCTCCCTCTGCCTGTGATTTATATTTCCTTCAACAGTCACATTCTTCCCAATCTGACATGTTTGAAGATGTTAGAAGGGTACACAGTTTAGCATGGGGGGTGGGGGTGGGAGGGAAGGAAAGTACTAGTCTGATTAAAATAATGATTGGACAAGTTTGAACTGACATTACATTTTGTAAAAGGTAGAGGAGGATGAGTTCTCTATTATAAACTTCTGCGATGGATTTATGGCAATTTCACTTTAACACCACCATTTTGGCCAATGAGATGTTGAGGAACAAGATCTCACTTGGAGGTGACTTGAAAAAACTCCACCTACTTTGTGAAAATAATGAAATGTTAAAAGAAGAAGAAAAAAAAAAAAAGAAATCCAGCAGCTTTTCTATGAGACTTCACACAGCATGTCCAATTCAGTTTTAGTCACATAGGTGTGAATATGTGGACATATTTAAGAAAAATCTATTTAGAAGAATAGAGTTTCCAAAACTCCCTTCTGAAAACTTCCTAAGGTACTATAATGGAATTTTTGAGCTTTACAAACGTGGTGTCAAGGATTTATTGATTACTCGAGAAGAAACCTGAGTAACTGAACTAGAATTACAAAGCCTTGCTCTGGACTTCAGGTCTGAGAGCTAAGTCTGGTGACTGCTAGGAGCTTGTTCCCAGCAGTGAAGATGACTCCCAGGATCTACATGCCAGACAGGACCTCTAAGTGATTTCTGGGCATGTCTTGGCCCCAGGAATATCCTCCTTCAAGAAAATGACCATCCACCCTACCAGAAATAGCATCTGCCATCATCTGACAAAAGCTCTGTGTCTAGCCAGGGTGGGGACTTTGTGGACACGAAAAGCTGGAGCTCTGTTTGTGTGGGGTGTACAGCTTAGGCTGCACTTTGGCCCCAGTAGGCCATGAAGTGAGTTGCCCTTGTGCAGTGGAGAAGGTGCAGCCATGTGTGGTGACAGGGAGCACTGAAGAGTCAGACTGCCAGCGCGCAGTCAGGTCATGTGCCAATCGCGCGCTCTTTGGAAAGTTACTCCCTGGACACTTCAGTTCTCTTGTGTATAATATGAGAATGATCAAACACATCTCATGAGATAAAAGGAAGGATTCAATGAATTATTACATGGAAAGTCTTTAGAACAGTATCTGGCAGAGAGGAAGAATTTGGTAAATGTTACTAGTTCGCCCAAGCAAAATAATGGAATTACTGGAAAAGTCTCTCTGCTGCCAAGTCCCACCCTTCACCCCAATAAACTTAGTTAAGGTTCTCCTTAGTCAAGGTTCATCCCACTTGAATGGTCCTTGGGGGATGTAAGAGGTGTAGTGGACCAGAGATAAAAAGAATTGGGTTTCAGGTCTCATGTGATCATAACACTAAGCTAGGCAAAGCCTCCAGTCTCAGTTCTCATGGACACAAACAGCAGAGGCATGGAGAGGGTTCTCAGAGAGGTTCCTAGCTATTTTCCTTTATTCTAAGACTCTATGTCTTAGAATTGAATAGTTGACTTTGTGCCTTGCTGCCCCTCCATCAGGTTAAGGCTTAGTGTTTCAAATACCCACAACGCTGACAGATTTCTGAATCACCCTCTTCAGCTCTTACCTTCAACATAGGTTGGGAATGAAGCCAAGCTTTTTCTTGACTGTAATTAAAACAAAGAGGTTTCAAACAGGGCAAAGCATAATAAAAAATGCATTAATACAACCACCCATGCAAGATAAAAAATAAATATATCACCAAAGGCAGATATTACAACTAACCAAACATTTTGGTAGCAAAAGCAAACTGTGAATAAACATCTGTGTTATTTGTAAAGACCATCCAAATCCCACCTGTTACGATTTAGATAATCCGAAAACCCTACATTTAAAGAGGTCTGCCAGTTGAAAAAATATACAACATACCAAAAATCAGCAGTAGCAATAGCAATAAGGAGGAATCAATTTGCATTCTTAAGACAAATTTGAGTTTCTAAGGGAAAAACTGCTGATTAGGAAAAGTACTGACACTACGATCATAGGTTAAAATTAAGAATTCCCTTGGAGAATTCCACTTTAGGTCTTGCTACAGTGATCGCTTACTATGCTACAACTGTTGGCTAGAGTTTTTATCTTTTCCTTTTATCTCTCATGGGTTTATTTTAATTTTAAAATTCCATTATGAAAGTCATTATTGTGTGTTACCTTAAAATAAGAACACATCAAAGGACAAAACAAAAAATTATGGAATTCCTTACATTAAGTAACACCTCGTAGCAAAGGCTGAGCCTCCAGCAGCACTGTTGGAAGTAGGCATGGTCAGTTCTAAACCTTCTAGAACTAAACCGATGGCAGTTTAAATGCAAACTCTCAGAGTGGCAACATTTACCATTTGTTTCCTCGGACAAGCCAGTGTCCTAGAGATAACTCTGAGTGGGAGAACAGGAAACTCATTTTGCTTCAATCACCAATAGAATTTAGAAATCTTGTGTCAGGGGCAGGGTGGTGCATCAGGACTGGAGAACTCAAGTAAACGCCAAGAGCCCCTAACAGTACAGCATGGCTGTTCAACAGGTCGAGAACTGGAGTAGACGCTGTTCCTGGTGGACGTAGTGTCCTGGGAAGCAGTTTTCTCTCGCTGTGCCCTTCACTTGGGAAAGAGGAATGGCAAAGGGGTGATGAATTAGTTAATACTTGCACAGTTGAAAAGATAGCCGTGCTAATTATTATGTGAAAACTTGGAGACTGCTGAAGTAAACTAGATTTAAGACTGTAACTTGATTTAGGAAACGGCAAGAACTCAACTTAATCACTCAAGTTGGGCAGGGCAGTAAACCTACTGCAGATGTGCTCACTGGGATGAAACTGAGCCTCACACCCAAGAAGGGGGCTTCTTGTTTCAGAAAGGACCATTCTTCAAGAAACCTACTTCTGCGAGGATGGGGAGATCACTAGAGCTGCTAACACATCTACGGAAAAATGTAACCAATGGAAAGCTAAGATATGTGGATGGCAAGAAAGGGAACTCACATTCATTTTACTTTCTGTTTACCCAAGTGAGAAGTTGGCCTGATGAGTGCCAACGGCCTAGTCTATAGAATTCTATTTATTTTAAAGAAATAAAAAAATCTTTGACTTTATGGTATGCAGATGGAAGCTTCTTCTTCATGATGGCCAAAGACTTCAAAAAGATTCTTCTCCAGTCATCTTCAATCCATGCCCTCAGTAGCAAGAGGCTTGGGGGGCACGAGACTTTGGTTTGTTTAATCAAGGTGACATACGCTCCAGGTATAGCCAGGAAGCCAATTCAGAATTTTGGGGGCTATTAGGGTACTTTCTGAATGCTAATTTCAAGGAGAGTGTCCAGATCTTAGCAGAAGATTATCTTAGCACAAACCAATTACTTTAGTCTATAGCCCTAAAAGCTACTATTTCATTTGGCACCATGCTGAGGGAATTTGGTTCATTTACTTACTCTCTACTCATGACTGAGGACTAGCTTGATTTAGTCTCTAGGGTAGTAATTTTTTAAAAAAAGAGTTTTGTGAAATGAAAGCATCTCTACCACATATAAAGAGGATTTTCACATTACTTCTAAGAATATGCAGAAACAGGTGCCAAGTCCTGTAGGAACTGAGAAACTAACAAATTTGCCTTGCATATTATTATATCTGATGAAAAATCAGGGGCTGGATTTTGAGATGTCTGATTAGTCCTTTGTTTTTTTCACATGTGGACAGAGATGAACATCAGTTGACCCTTAGCCTCCAAGAATTAATAAAACCATATTCAAGAAAATAAAGGCCCAAACCTTGGAGACATTAAGGTTGGGGGTGGGGGAGTTCACAGACTGTGCGCAGGGTCTGGAATCCTGACAGGTGGAATAATGACGTGCAAACTGCCTGGTCTGCGTAGCAGTTTCTGCTCCAGTGATGGCAGATCCTGGTGTTGAGGGCCTCAGCAGTTCTGAATTCAAACCTGGCCTGACAAGTTACGAGCTCTGAAAGCTAAGGTTCAGTTACCCAACCTCAGCTTCCTCAGCTAACAGATGAGGAGAATACCATCTACCTCACAGAATTAACTTCAGGGTGAGATTAGATACCACCTGCGATTTGTGTAGGACAGTGCCGGAATACTGCCAATGCTCAAGGCACGGGGCTCTCGGGATGCTGTTATCTCCACAGCCGCCACGCTGCTCCCCACACTACTTGCCATCACCTATCTGTGTGCTAAGAATAAAGTACAGGGCAAAGCTGTGGGAGAGGGGCCCACGGAAACTGTAACCCCATTACTCCTGCAATGTGGCCTTGGATCTGAGAATCAAAACCAGAGGAGGACAAAGAATACCTCATGTCTACATTCTAAAGTTGGCATCACTTCAGAGGCAGTCTCTTTATGACTTTTTGACTAATTATGAACACAATAGTAAAAATATACTTTTCTCCTGCATGAATATTTAATAGCAAATGTGTGTAAGTTCAATGATACTAGAAGGGTAAGTTTAAACCAAGATCTTAGAAGCTATCTATCGTTCAGGTTAAAATGGAGAATGCTTTCTTCCATGGCATTAAATGTAGAATTATTAGGGAGAGAGACAATCACTCACAATGTGGCTTACCTCTAATGCACGGCCTCAGTGTTGATGAGGCAGCATCTATTTTTAGAGTGAGCGGAGCCCACACACGGATTCTGCAGGCCAGTATATTTTACCTGCTGTTGGTTCCTGAACAGTGGGGGTGGCACCGAGCTGGGTGTAAAAGTGCAGTGGGAGCTGAGGATGGCAGTGGCTTCCTTCAGGAAAAATCACTTGACCTTTTCTAGCCCCCAAAACCTCAGTGTGAGAAAGCAGCATCTTCCTAACAGGGCCGCTGTGTGATTTATTATCCAAGAGGGACCAACGAGGGCTTCCTATCTAGCGCCCTTGCCAAACATGCTAGTGAAGGCAATTAAAAGAAAGAGGTTGAAAACTTCAGTTCCTCAGCTGTACTGGCACAGGCGGCCAGTGACTGCATGTTGGGCAGTGTGACATTTTCCTCATCACCGAAAGTTCCTAGACAGGGCTGCTCTCTTGAGAGGAGGGGCACTCAACAGGTGCACTGCTTGGGCAACAGGTGTGAAGTGGCATCACCTTACGTAAACCCAAACAAGCCCTGATGTCATGAAGGTACTTTCACTGGGGCCTAAAATAAAAGGGCATTTAAGAAATCAACCCATCGCCCAACCACATAGCACTGTGAGCTCACGGTAGATGAGCCCTCAGCTCCATGAGGAAGACACTGCTACACAGAGGTCCTGCATCAGTGGCCAGAGCTGTCTAGTGGAACTTTCTGCAGTGAGGAAAGTGCTGGGTGATCTTCCACACAGTCCAGTCCTCAGCTACCTGAGGTTCCGAGCATGTGGAAGGTGGCTAGTGTGCCGAGGAACCGCATCTTTCATTTGTTGATTAAAAGACTCAAGGCTTGTGGCCACCCAACTGGCACAGCTTTAATCATGGACTTCCACTCCAGCACCCCAGCAGAGAAATGAGAAGTTTGCCCCCGCTTCCACCAGGGTTAGTTTGAGTCAGAAGCTCTATGGGAGGCTTAGAGAAAGCATAGACCAGGATTAGAATAAAAGAGAATGGGCTGACGGCTCTTGGAGCAAACATACCCTACCTCTTTATTTGTGGAGGCCTCTGCAGGGTCGCTAGGATGGAGGGGTGTGCTTGAAGACTCTGCGCCCAGGGGTGAGGAGCTTCCAGGAGATGGAGACTGGAACACAGCAAGGAATAAAAGAGTGAGCAGGTGAGGCAGAGGGAGAACACCTGGCCTGGTGGAGGGGCTGGGGAGAGGAGAAAGCCAACACAATTCAAAGAACATTTCAGCAGCGAGAAAACTTCCCTGGAAAGAAGCTGCCAACTGTACATACAAGATTGGCTTTTCAGGCTTTCTTTACAGTCCTGGCTTGGCTTCCAAGGTGTTCTCACCTCTCGGCATCCCCTCTACCCACTTTAGGTCAAGTGTTTAAATAAAGGTAGCAAAAGTGGAGTATCAAACTTATAGCCTGAGATGAATAATGCCAATAATGATATACGCATTTGTAGTTTTAAAACTTTTGTTAGTGTAGGATACACAGACTGGGCACTCAATGTCTTAGAAATTCACTGAATATAAAAATGAGAACACCTAACTTAAAAGAGGCAGCCGGGAGTGAATCTGATGACTTGGAAACCACATAATGGTATCTTCCTAATCGCTTCCAATTTCAAATAGTTTGTCTGATTTAATCCACGGGTCACTGAAAATTCAGAGATATTTTAGTCTCCAAACATTACCTTGGTCACTCTTAGGACGGTACCAAAATCCTTTGCCTAATGCTATGTTTGAAAATAAGGTTAGACCAAAAGTTTCTGAAATCTTGAACCCCAGCAGGTATTTCTGGCCCTGGCCATGGCATGGGGCTCCAGGCACGAGGAGCTGCTCTGGCAGGTGCCTGATATACAGCTCACACGTGCCTGCTGAATGCACGACCACAGAACTAAGACAGGCACCAGGACGCCAGTAAAAGCCCAGGCTCTGAAAGCCCTTGCCAGAGGATACCGCAAGCATTTTTGTGTGCTCCTGAAGTCTGGACAGATGAAAGGGTTCTTCAGGTGCGAGTAAGAGCTCACTGCTTGATGGTTTGTTGATGCTTGATAGAAAACATAAAGCAGAAACCACACGAGGATCTGTTCTGTGTTGGAAATTACAAGGCTGTGAGGAGGTGGGTGGCGCAAGTACTGGGCAAAAGTGTAAACCAACACCAGTGGTGGCTTGAACCTGCTTGCGACTGTGCTCCCTGGGGGAACTGGCACATAGAGACAACTATGCATGGAAAGGAAGAATGTTTCAGAACTGCTGAGGAGAGGGCTGAGGGGAACACTGTATCAGGGGGCTTTCAATAGGCATTGTATCACATCATAATAAAAAAGTAAACATTTGTCAGAAGCCTAGGTTGCAGGGAACATAGGGCACCAGTGACTTGAAGGATGGTGCAATGGACTGCTGTATTGACTCTGAGTGTTGTAGGGTGTGGGCTTGTTTCCCGTGAGCCCATGTCCCTTGAGCCCATGTATGTGTTTCTAGGCAGGCAGAAGACCAGTGAGCCTCTTAAATGTTCACAGCAGACATCAGCCACTCCACTGTATAAACTCAAGAGGACAGGTTGAGGGTAGCAGTAGACAGAAGGCTTCTGGCCCTTGCATACAAGCAAATAGTCGTGCTTGCCTTTGAAAAGAAACACAAAATTTTTCATTTGGCAAGAGAGTTGGGGGGTACTTGCTGAATTAGCTCCACGTCTGGCCCACTCAAAATTAACGTAGTAAAGCTTTCATGAGACCTGAAGGCCTTCACATTCTTCCAGCTTTTCAAATTTAAAGAGTTTCCTTAGCCATGTATGTCTTTCTTTCCTCTAGTAATTTTCTCTGTCATCCAGATTTAAAGAGTCTAGTCCCTGGAGGAGCTAGTGCAGTGGGTTTTTCCGTAACTGGCTGACTTATAGGCCACGTTAACACCATCATTAAAAAAAAAAAAACAAAAACCACCGAACCCCCCCCCCCAAGAATTTTAGGGTTTCCACTTCTGTTTTCTGTTGCAAATCTTCTAAAAATAGCTTCTGCAATTTTGCAGGTATTAGATCATCTCTAGATAATGCAAAAAGGTTGTGCAGACAGTGAGCTGGATGCGGCAGAGGCAGGAGGACCACCCAGGAAGGCTCAGAGGGGCCAGGCCACGCTTCACCATGAGCCACACTCCAGCCATCTGTGCACCCACGAGCTCATCCACATCGCCATCCATTTTCATGTGCAGTTACTGACCTCCCTCTAGAGAGTTCTTTCTCACTCCCTACTACACCCATTTTTCCATTTGAAAGTGCTCATCTTGTTGAGGCTTCCTCAGACTCACTTCACAGTACCACTCTCCCCTGATGCCAGCTTGCTGCTTGCACATGCTCCCCTCCTCCAAGAGCTCCTGGTGCCAAGGATCTGGCCTTACTCATCCTCGTAATCTAAGTGTCTACTGTGGGCCCTGGGAACTACTGGCTCTCAGTAAACACACAGAAATGTAGTTTCTGGCTTACAATTTTCCCAGCTTCCAGAGCAAGCAGATTCACTGCTGCTTTTTCATTATGTTTTAGTGGTCAACAGTAAGTCCTTTTCTAACAGAGCATCCGTATGCGGCTCTGTGCAGAATGTTGCCATCCGCATTTTATTAGAAAATTAGGGAAATGGTCTTTGTCAGCAAAGCTCTATTACGAACAAAAGCTGTCCCAAAGCATCCACCATGTCTGCTGATGAACCCAAGGTGGACAAACGGCCCCAAAGACATAGCCTCCATGGAGCCTAAGCAAGGGGTTCAGGTGCTTTGTGAGACTGATGTGGGATCACAGTACACTCTTCTCAAGTGTCTCCTTTAAAGGCCCTTTGCCCCCACCTCCAACTTCTGCTTTCTTAGACACTTTGACATGGAGAAAAACAGAAATTGGAAACTTTTTACTTGCAAGGACTATATCTGAGGCAAAATTTAACCAATACAATTATGCTAAGTAGAAAGATTGTGATTATCTATTTCTCTGTCCATTTCCCATGCCTCCTGGGTTACTGAATGGATATTTGATTTTAAGCATTTGAGACCAGTGTGGGAAGCAAATGTAGGCTTGGAAAAATTATTCAATAAGTGCCTCATGGATATCTCTAGAGAGGATGTTCAAAGGTGACTTGACTATTCCCTCCCTCTTGTGTGTAACTACAGGAGATCTCTTTAAGTGCAACAATTTGTTTCCTGCAGCCTATATTCTAGCAGATTCATCACAACTATGACCTAAATTGTACCGTCAACCTCAGAGGCTCTACAAAGCAAGCTCTCAGTCTACAGACATGTACTCCAATGCCAAAACATCCATAAAGAAAGTAGATCATTCATTTGAATCCCACTGCGCATCTCCTAGGGGCAGACACTATACTGTTGGTGGTGGGGTGAGAGAACCTCAAGAATTTTCAGGCAGTGCTTGAAGGGGAGAAAAGCAGCACACAGATAATTATTCACTTATTCCTTCAATAGGCATTTCAGTGCCAACTTCTGCTCCTAACACTGGGTCGGGAAATGACAAGAGAAGACTTTTGGTATCGTCTTCCTTTCCAGATAATGGGAGGAGGCAAACGTGTGATGCCAGGGAGAGGTTAGGGTGCTAATTCATATGTGGGAATAAGAGTTGGGAGATGGATTCTGCAGGAGTGGTGGGTGTGTACAAGCAATGTTTCGTGATGAAAGCGATTCTCCAGTGAAATCTTAAAACCCATGCACTATTCATGGAGTAGGATGGGGTGGAACAGGGAAAGGTGGAAGGTTTTAGAAACAGGCGTGGAGGCAGAAGCACAACCCCAGGGTTGAGAGTCAGGGGTGGGGAGCGAGCTGAACAGCAGCAGTCCCTGAAGCCCTGCCCAAGACACAAAGCAGCTTTTCTGCCCGGAGAGAATCTTCTGGCAATTCACTGGCCTTTGTCCTCACCGAAGAAGCATGGTGTAGGTCCAAATAACCATTACCTGAATGAACTGGGAAATCTAAAGGATTGAGGGGCTGAGTTCTCTTTCACTCTTCCCTTTTCCTTAGTCTCCCTTCACCTTCAGACATCTGTACGAAGAGACTGCAAGTTGGAAAAACTTATAGATCCTTTGAGAACACCCCAACAACAGAAATAAATGGCCTCTGGCTCTTTCCAAAGGTTAATCTTCTTTTCAGGAAGGCCAAGGGATTGAGCAGAGCTCAGGGCAAAGCTGTGCTTAGGAAATCTGAACCACCTGGAGGATCTCTAGTCAAAAGACACAAAAGAGTGAGTTCAACATAGGCTGTTCTTTCATCTATTTAACATGGAAGTGCTGACAGCCAGATGGTGCCCAGCTTCCTGCATGGTTTAGCAGGCAAACACACCTACAAACAAAAGCAGTGGTCACTGAGTCCCATGGGAAGCCAACGTCACAACTACACGCAGTCACCAAGGAGCAGACTGCTCACCACGTCAGTGTCCTGCTCACCACGTCAGTGTCCTGCTCACCACGTCAGTGTCCTGCTCACCACGTCAGTGTCCTGCTCACCACGTCAGTGTCCTGCTCACCAGTCTTCCTCAAGCTTGAGCATCTACCTGCTTGTTTCTTTGTCAGCTGGTCTCTGTTGACTAGTGGGACCATCTGGTCTTACAAGGCAAAAGTAAATCAAAAGCAAAGCACAACAGCAAATATATAGCAAGGTAGAAGTGCAGATATTGCAAAAATAAAAGACAAACTTTTATAAAGTTGAAGAAAGCAAAGTTGGAGAACTGCTGAAACCAGATACAAATAATTTGTCAGTAGGTAAAGTTACACTGGTTAACAATTAAGAGGAAAATGGAAAGGATGATGGCATTTGAGGAGCTTTGAAAGAGCAGGGATGGAATATCAAACCATTAAGAGACCCTTGGGAAACCTGACTCATATAAATACTTTTGCAGAAGTGGTCCTCCTTAAGAATGAAAATGTTTGTCATTTAGAACAGGGAGGGTGATGTCTACAGAAAATTAAATGGCCAAGTATACCCAGAAGTCCAGGAGACACTTGTCAGAGTCCACAAAGCCAGGAGGAAGAGCCGAGAAACACCCAGAGAGGACAAAAGCATATCATTCCAGCTAAAAGACTGATAGAACCTGACAGCAAGAAGGCACAAAGTGGGTCAAGGCATCCCATCCCAACCCACTGCTCGGG